AGTAAACGAAGCACTTGTTATAACTAATAAAAGAGTTTTTTGGCATCTAAACAAGATAAAAAAACAAATAAAAGGTAATAAAACAGCATTCTAAACTATAGAAAGGAATAGTTTTACTGTTTTTGATATATTCGGATGTTTAGGATGGGTTAATCATTGTTTGATCGGTTTGTAACTGTCCAAAGGCGAATTCGGAAGCAAATTTTCAAAAAAGCGGCCTTTTTAATGTACTTTTGGCCTATAATAAAAATGCATAAATATCACAATTTTCTACATTTAATTAGAAATATAAAGCTACTAGTAGCTAAAAAAAAAGTCGCTTTTATGAAAATTCGGTTTATAATAATTTTATGCATAAAATGCTTTGATAATCTCAATTATGATTGGATCAAAACAAAATCAACTGATACTTCAAGTATGTTAATAAAAGTAGATTTGAAATTAATATTTATTATTTATTAGTAATAGTATTTAAGTAAAAATAAATATATAGTAATTATTCAAAATCAAAATTATAAATGCAAAATACTAAATATTCTAACCACAGAATTTAATAAACTTATATTGTTTAAATTTATAAATTTTATCGATTAATATCAAACTCAACTTCTTTACTTTGATAATCATGATTATCTAAATTTTAACAATAGTTTTAGTAAGTATATGGACAATATTTATTAACTATTATAAGAACCATACCTTGATCGTGAGTATTCTCGTTATATTTTTGTCTTTTATTTTTATAATAGATATCTATCATAAAATTTTATATTAACATCGTTATCATATATTAAAATTTTATTTATTCTTCTACATACCATCGTAAGCAAAATTATTTTCATAAAGTTGATGCTTTTTTAGAATATTAAGATTAGAACATGAGGGAGGTGCTGGTTCTTGTTTATAATAGTACAAAGTTTGTTTGCCGCATAGAAAACTTAAGTCCATTTTCGATAATTGTCTATTCCGGGTTGATGTTTTTATTTCATTATTTCTATTAGTGCTATTATTTAATTACCGTAAATAAGTAAGTATATATGTAATATATATTAAATCATTAAAATGCTTAAGAAAAATTGGAATAAAAATATCGCTGATTATACTTTTTTTCGTTTATAAAATTGAATGAAACTTCTAAAAGATGGTTTATAAATAGGTTATTTTTAACAGTTTATAAAACAAAAATAAATTGTCGTTTATCGAGTAGATACCTGATAAAATAGAATAACCTATTTATATGTTTATAGATAAGTAAACTAGTATACATTAAATTATGAAAAAAGAAGGTCAAAGTAGTAATTTGAGCAAACATACTTGTAAGAGTCTTATAGTTTAATTGCATCCGGAGAGCAGTGTTAACTAAAGAACTTAGTGACCTACTAGTATATATTGCCTGTGGGTTTACTTCTTTTATAGGCCTGCGTATTATATTTTCTGGGAATTTTATTTCTTTAGCATATAATTTAGGCTTAATACTCCCAATAGATTTCCCAATATCCTCAGCACTTGGTCTGTTTAATGGATTTGCGTCCCAACATTTTTCCATTAAATCAATATAAGACTGTGGTAAATCGTTAATTAATTCGGGACGAAGACCATTAAGAATATCAAGAATAAGAGATTCATCATGATTACGATCAGAAAAAGGCTTTTGGCCAGTTGTCATTTCCCACATAATCATTCCAAAACTGTAAATATCTGATGCTGTCGTATACCTTTCTCCATTAAATATCTCAGGTGCTATATATGGAATCACTCCGTATATCTCTTTTGTATCTGTTATTGAATTTGCTGGTTTGCTTATTCCAAAATCTCCTATCTTTGTATCTCCCGGGAAATATGTATCTGGATCATTAACAAGAATATTACCACTATGAAGATCTCGATGAATAATATTTCTCTTATGAATTGCATCGAGTCCCCACGCTATATATTCTAGCATTGCTAATTTTTGATTCCAAGATAAAGTAAAAAAATTTTTTGAGATATAATTATACAAGTCACCGTTTGATGCAAAGGCCATCACAATCATATAATTTTTTGTTTCGGGATGCTGTGTGATACCATAATATTTGAGTATATAACCATTGCGGCCTGAACATTGAAAATAATTTTTTAGCTGAAATTAATAAAATAAGTTAACTGATAAAATTTAATAATAATAAGTTATGGGAATGATATAATTGTAAAATCAAACCTCATTTAAAAAATCATTACTTATAATTTTAGAATTATTAAGACTTTTAAGTACAACTGTTGTAACATCACTAGTTTTAAACGTTTTCATCCAACTACTCCAACGACTTTTCATGCTCTTAGAACATGTCGCCTTATATATTTCACTAAATCCTCCTTTAGCAAGATGGCTAACATTACTAAATTGTTCATATGGAATAAATTCTATAAAAACACTTTTGTTGCTTTGTGTATTTGTTTTTATAAACCAATTATCTATAAAGTCATTTCCACTTAATGTTATTTGATCACAAAAATTACATTGCTGAGCATTCTCATCCTTATGAAATTTTGACCTTTTACATCTATTACACTTTCTAACTAAAGGATTTCTATACTTAGTAACTTTATTTTTTATGCATGAAGTTGATAAATCATTATTAGGCCACGCAAAGTTGATTTTTCGTTTTGCATTACCCGCCGTCCCATTTTTTCAATTTTTTCAATTTTTTCAATTTTTTTTTTAGATCCCAATTGTGCCAATTGTTCGATTTTTGACATCTATTTTTTTCCGCTATTTTCATCCGGTATC